GGGCGAGGTATAATGTAGACATGCTTTACTCTACAGTACCAAATTGGAGAAAATTTAATACATGATGGGCGTCACTGCATCAGAAGTCCTCACACGCACACGCCATCGGCGCCAAGACCAGTTCATGAACAACGAGGAAGACAAAGATGAAGGAATCTGGCGCCCACACTCCAAACATCAGTGTAGATGCATCGAAAGTCTACTCTCACCATAATCCAGCACGAGTTACCGTCCCTGCACCACCCTGCTGTGGGGCACACGGTAAACCTCGTTGAAATTGACGGTCGATGTTCTGATTTTCCTAAGTTGCAGAAGAAGTACCCTCAACGTTTAATTCATTAAGATCCAATTTCGATTTTGTGCTGTCAGCTGCGTTCTGTGAAACCGGTCGAGATGAAGACTATTTGAAGTCCAGGTACTTCAAAGATTCTGCCACATTTCTACGGCAAACAGTTACTGCTCCCGAAGTATCAGAAAACGGTATATCAATTAATTCGCTGATGGTCTTCACTATGTCTGGAGAGAAATAACGCAGAAAAAGGGCGAGCAAATTCTGTGATGGGACCCAATGATGAGCCGAACCGTTTTGAGCTGTCTCGGCCAACAATAAGGCGATCGATGAAACTCGTGTACCGGTTTTTGTTTAGTACACACGTTCACACACAGCATGGACCTACCAGGCCACATGCGTCCCAATGAAAACCTGCGGTAGAATATCGCCGGCTATACCAAAAACACCGCTCTTCTCCTCATCAGCACCTACAACACACGCGATCACACCGAACATCACACAATGCATGTTTACGACCACTACCCCTCACGTAAACGGGCAGTAGGGTCCTTTCCTCTTTGTTCATGCGGTTCCTCTGCTGTATGTGAGAACCGAGCTCGAGACATTGACGGAGCGTTAAGTATCCTAGCTTTAAAGGTTACTAACCGGCACTGGAGCGCAAAACCTTGCAGTCAGCCCAGTTTGTGTTTGTTTTGCATGACTGGCTGGCGGTCTAAGAACTTATTGAAGGTTGTAGTGGCGCCAACTGAAGGATCCCCAAATCCCAGGTCAGGGAAAACGGTATTGGTGGAAAGAGATTTTATTGCCGGAAAATGAACGGTACAAAGGCTGCGTTACGAGCCAGCTGCCTCTGCACGCCAGGTGTGAGTCCGCGAAGTTG